ATTTCTAAAAAACATTTTTTCAAGAAATTTTTATTTCAATTATCATATAATATAGAGCATATGTATTACATATAACCACTACTATAATGAAAACTCTTGGAAATTATTTATCTATATATGTCTCCCCATGTATATCTTTATATCTGTATAAATAGATACATACACCATATACACATACATAATTTGAAATTTCTATCTCTATAGTGAATTTCAACATCTTTTAGAATACAATGTTTAATAAACTGCAATACAAGAATATATTGTATTAAGTATAGTTAAAATGTTTTGGTGCTTAATAGTTCAAAAAATGGTTTTATTTAATTGAGACCAACTGGCCTCATTGCTTCTTATAAACTTTGCAATATATATTCAGTAAAAAGGAATAAAAATGAACAGATGTTTCTCTTTAGAGAAGGCAGACAAAGATTGTTCTTACACAATAAATCAGCTGCTAGTGGATTTTCAGGACATGGCTTTAGGCTATTTAGGGGGGAAAAATATGGCGGCCTGGAGGGGTGGGGGGATCTATTTACCTCTGTGTGGATCCAGAACTGGTAAAGAAGATTGAACTGAGCATGAACAGCATATACTGATGGAGGGATGATGAGAGCCAAGGGACAGTAGAAAATCTGAAAGATTGAAAATACAATTCCACTTATGATTTCTTGACACAAAGATGTACTGATCCTAACATTTCAACAGTCTAAGTGAATATTTCTTCAGTAAATACACATTATTCTGCATATTTTATTGTCAAGTTTGACTTGGCAACGTTCATTTTCTTCACAATGATAAAGTTGCAGACATGTTGAATGTAACTCCTCTGGACTTCTATTTTGCATTTAATATTGTGAGGTTAAATATTTTATAAGTTAAAAAAGATGTAGGAACTGTGTCTTTATACCTTGACAATTCTCAAGCTCTGTATTAGTATCTAGCATTTTCAATAAAACATGAAATTACCCTAAGAGAAATAACTGAATACAGGATAGCAGAGAATATTATTTTGTGTGCATATAGTTCAGTGAGGATACTATTTTCTAGTTTAAAAAAATGTGTGTTTTTTTTTAAGTAGGAGCTATGATATGTGACCTCAGTAGAAATACATTTTAAAGGTATACATTTTGCAGCATAAGAAAATGCCTCTGTTTTGGAAAAGCAACTTATGTTTAACTATAGAACTGATTAGAATCAACCTAATAAACACAATCTGTTGTATTTTTCTAATGACTTATCCCTGAGAGTGGTTTTAAGTTGTAAGAAAACATTTCATTAAGTGAAAACATGGCATAAAAATAATGAAAAATATTACTTCCACTTTATAATTCAGGTATTGCATTCTACACACTTCCAAAAGACCATCTATCAAAAAAGTATTCCTTATGAATATTAAATTTTTATGTTATCTTAAAGCTTTTTCCTCAATTAGAATATCTCACTACAGTGATGTTTTTTAATGGTTATGAGTATGAAATTTGTCATTTACATAAACTTTTCTAATGTTTGCTCTTAAACTTAAGCCATGAAAACCAAATTAAAAAGAAAAGAAAAAAACCTGAACAAACAAAAAAAGCAAAACAAAACAAAAATACTACCACACGTTAACTCATGATAAGCAGGATATCTTATCTGTAGATTATTAAACAATGGGTTCAATTAGCTAGCAACAATAGAACATTGGGCTCTCATTAACTTTAATACCAACTTCTTGACTTCCTAGGTAATGGGCAGAAAGTTCTTAAAACTCTTCAGACTTCAATTACCTAAGAACAAAGGTAAAGTTACTAAAATCAGTTGAAATCTATCTTTTTTGTTCTGAAATATCGGTGATGCTATGATTTGGTTTGATGTATGTATTTAATTATCCTAATATCAGTAATTTTAGGGAGCTCTGCTGGCCTAGTTGCAAGTAGTTGTAACGCAATCCCGAAGGCACATAGACTATGCGGGAGAAGGACGGGCAATCTGCTCTTGTGTGATTAACTGGAAACTCACCAGAGGGTCAGCTATTGGTCAGTTCTGACCCCACAGTACACAGCAACAACCACAATATCAACAATGGGGCATTCTGGACACCTAGTTGTATGAAGCTGTGCCACCAACCCAAAGGCAGGTGATTTGAATTCACCAGCTGCTCCAAGAGAGAAAGATGAGCTGTCTCCCCTTGAGAGACTGTTAGTCTCTGAAAACCCCCTAGAGGATCAGCAATGAGATGGCTCTGACTTGATAGCTGATATCAACAGCAACATCCATAAAAACTCAACTCATTGCCTTTGAATCTGAAATCTCATAACTCACCTTGCAGTGGGTTTTCTCCAAGGTACATAGAAATGGAAAATATTTCTCCAACAGAGGCGCTTGTGGATTCGAACCCTCAGAGAGCTGCCATGTTTGGGTAAGCAGTTCAACTCCCTATTAACTACCTATTATCTATGCCACCAGAGTTCCCTTTCTTTTTATGCAGATAGTTATAGCTCACATATGACCTATAGTTTAAGGACCTCAAGTCATGCGGTATTTGGGATTGTCTCCTTTAATGAGTGAACAAAGGTACAAAATAATTTGCTCTGTTTTCATTTTATTTAGAAACAGAACACATGCCAGTTGTCTAGAGTTCATGATAATTTCTCAAAGTATAAAGTTATACTTCCACTGTTGTTGTTATGTGCCATCGAGTCATCTGTGACTCATAGCACCCCTATGTACAACAGCTCTAAACCCTGCCCTATCCTGAGTCAGCCTCACTGACTCAGACACAACTAATCCCATTGTCCCAGATACCACGTCAATCCATCTCATCTGGGGTCTTCCTTTCTGTGCTGTCCCTTTACCTTACAAGCATAAAGTCCTCCCTCTTCAAGGGCAGTTCCCTCCTGGCCACATGCCTAAAGTATGTGAAAAAGACTTTCAAACTTGCCTTCAAGGAGAAACTTAGTTTAACCCTTTCCAAGACAGACTTATTGTTCTACTGGTGGTCCATGGTATGTTCAATACTCTTTTTCAGCACCAAAACTCAAAGGCATCAGTTTTGCCATCCTTAGTCATTGTACAGTTCTCTGATGCACAGCAAGTAATTGCAAAGAGTATGACTTGGGTAAGGTGCACCTTAGTCTCCAGACTGATATCACAGCAGACTTCCCCAATGCAGTTTGTCATTTGATTTCCTGACTGCTGATGTAAAGTGTGTTGACTGTGGAACTGAGCAAGCTGAAATCGTTAATAAACTCAATATCTATCTATCATGGTGCTGCCAATTAGCCCAGTGGTGAGAAGCTTTGTCTTCTTGATGTTAAGCTTCAATTAATTTGAAGGCTACTGTGCTTGAATTTCTGCAGCAAATACTTCAGGTCCTCCTCAGTTTTGGCAAGCAAAGTTGTATCGTCTTCAAAAATGCATTTGTTGATAAGTCTTCCTCCAATCCTGATGCCATATTCCATCTCATAAAGTCCAGCCTTCTGAATGATCCATTCCACATACAAATTGAAAAGGTATGGAGACAGGCTGCATCTCATCTCTGACGCACTCTTTTCCTTGCTCTGTTTTGAGGAGTCCTAATATAGCTTTCACATGAGCACAATCAAGTTTTCTGGGATTCTCATTTTTCCCATTTTGTTTTGATCTACACAGTCAAATGCCTTCCCACAGTCAATGAAGCACAGAGAGACATTTATCACTCTGGTACACTTTGTTTTCAGCCTAGATCCATCTGAAATTGGCAATAATGTCTCTGGAGCCATGGCCTCTTCTAAATTCAGCTTGTATTTCTGGTAGTTTTATGCTAATATACTGTTCCAGTCATTTTGGAGTAATCTTCTCCATGAATTTGCTTGTGTGTGATACTAGTAATATTGCTTGATAATTTCTATACTTTATCAGATCATCTTTTTTGGGGGAATAGGAATAATTATGGATGTCTTCCAATCAGTTGGCCAGGTAGCTGTCCTCCAGATTTCTTGACAAAACCTAATGAGCATGTCCAGGGCAGCATTTTTCCCCCCTCTGGAATATGTAAATTGGTATGTTGTCAATTCCTGGGTCCTTGTTTTTTACCAATTCCTTCAGAGCTTGAACTTCCACCTCCATCACCATTGCGTCTTGATCATATGTTGTTTCATGAAATTCTTCTGATATTTTGGGGGAGAAAAGTCCTATGATCTTAATATTCCATAGATCACCAAAAAAATGAACAGATATGTCTTGGAAAGGTGCAGCTAGAGTGCTCTTTGGGGGCAAGAATGGCAAATCTTCATCTCTCATACTTTGGACATGTTGCTGGGAGAGGCTATTCCTTATAAAGGATAACATGCTTAGAAAGGTGGAATGTCAGCAAACGAGAAGAAGACCTCTAATGAGATGCACTAACTGCAGCAATAGGCTTAAATATATGAGATGGTGAGGATGGCACACAATAGGACAGGATTCAGGTCTGTTCTTTATAGGGTTCTATAAGTTGTGCTTGACGGGATGGCATATAACATGACCAAATAAACAACATCATGACGAATAAAGATTGAAGTCAAATATTTAATTTTATTTTGATTCGTAGTCAATTCCCAATGAAGTCACTGTCAAAAAAATCAAAAGAAATACACACTGCATTGTGTATTGCAATGATCAAACCTACTTACTGCCAGGGACCTCTCTAGAGTGATACAAGACCAGAGATGACACTTTAAAGATTAAGGTACAACTGACCCAAGCTAAAGTATTTTCAAGTGCTCCGCATGCATGTGAAATATACATGTTGACAATGAATAAGGACAATCAAAGAAGATAAAATGTATTTGAATTGTGTCACTGACAAAGAATATAGAATATCCTATGAACTGTCAAATTTGTAAAACAAATTTATCTTGGAAAATGTGCATCTGGAGTGTTCCTTAGAAGCACTAGTGATCAGACATTATCTCACATACTTTGGACAAATTATACTAGGAGGTGCTATTCCTCGGAAAAGTAAAGTTAGCAAATAAAAAGAGGAAGACTCTCATGGAGATACACTGATACAATGTCTGCAGTAATAAACTTAAGTGAAGAAGACACTGTGAGAATGGTGTGGGATAAGTCAGAGCTTCTTTCTGTTGTACATAGAGTTACTATGAGTAGGAGTAGACACCAGAGCACGTAACAACAATAAGAACATGGTTAAATATGTTTTAGAAGTGAGCTAAGCAAGTGAACTTCTTTTATTTACAAGTTAATTTCCACTGGAAGTTCTATGAACTTTGATAAACATTGATAGTTATTAAAAGGCTTATGGCCCTTTGTTTATAGGGTCATTATGAGTTGTGCTCAACTTGAAGGCAATCAACAACAACAACTACTCAGAACCTTTAACATCCTAAAGTGGACCACAAACCTATTAGTGCGTAGAATACTTTTTAAATGAGTTAGTCTTAGGATTAGATTTCCCAAAACACATGTTATCAAACATTTTAATGAATACCATGAATCAGCAAATATGATGTAAAACTGGCAACCAGAAAAATGAGCTTATATTAATTAAAAAATACTAACATTCTAAAAATAAAACAGGCAATTGTAGAAATTGCATGAGACTAAATTTCTTAGGATTGATACAGTGCTAGAAGAATCTACTGACAAGTGAAGCTCTCAATTTCTGTGGTTC